CCAAAATATTATTTATAGCACAAAAAAGTAGTACAGACTTTCAAATCTAAATGTTGTGTAAAAATATACCAAATTTGGACTCAATCAGATGAATCATATTTATTTTAGATTGGTATTAGTGAGAAATTTCTTAGGCGGAGGGGCCATTTTGGCACATTTATCCATAAATGTCACCAAACTGTGCCAAATACGAGGTCACGTAGCAGCTGGACCGCCGGTGGGTCCGTAGGGTTCAAGGGGCTAAGATAAAATGATCTATCTCATTTTTATGTGAGATTTATGCAAGATTTTAATCTCAATTTTAAATCAAATGCATTTTTGATTCCTAGAAATAACTTAGTCAAATTTTTTTTGTTTAATTATTCACTTATCTGTTTAGATTTATTATTTTTTTTTTAAATAGTTTCAAGATTTATTTTTTAACCTGTCTGAACTAGTTTCTGAACTTGTTAATATTATTGAGCTCGCTTTTCTTCTGGAATATTTCTGTCAGGTAAAAAGTGAAATGTAAGTGGGTGTTTCCCTTGATATTTTCAAACGAAAGTTTTATCTGTATCATGTGATGTACAGTTTAACGTTCAGGCACGTAGTTACATAGGCTACGCCCATTTCAAACAGCTTTCTTTTAAGCCAATAGAAACCAAGGAGAAGTAGCGGAAGTGTGCGCTCATTGGTTCGTAAGGCACGCATCCGCGCCATTTAAATCTTTTAAAAACTAGTGTGTTCTTGTTTGTCAGACCGAAAAGCAGCTACAGAAATCGGCAGTGTGCACAACAACGGCTGGATTTATCGTTTTTAAGGTACAGAACACAGGGGAACTTAAACTTCGTTTGTTTGCAGTGGTAATTTTTCTTAACTCTATCGTAAAACATGATTCCGTTAATTCACGTGTTATTGAAGGAACTGCGTGTTGTTTTTTTTGGCTTGAGATCCAGTTTTAAACACTACTTGGATGAATCAGTCTTATGTAGGCTTTTATCAATGTTTTTGCAAACTGATTCTTTTTTTAACATTGAACACAGGTTTCCTATGGAGGATTGAAACGTCTTATTTTTGAGGAATGGCTGCTTTTAAAGGGGATTTTAAAAATATATCTATCATTGCTTTGTTCTTTTTTTATAGATTGACATTGCACATGTTTAGTATATTTTTATACTTAAGTATTTAATTTAAAATCAGCAGCTGCAAAGGTGCCCTGTTTATAGCTACTTATACTTTTGGTGTAACTAGAAATTATTGAGAGAACTTGAAATATGATATATATAAGTATCTAAAAATGGTGTTTAACTGAGCTTTTTCTAAATGCATGAAATAATTTTTATGTTCTTAACGTTAATCCTGTGATTCCTCCTAATTTAAACCAGGTAACATTTCAAAGCAGCTATGGGAACAAGTGAGAGCAAGATGGCTGTGTCTGCAGACACTAAACCAGAACCAGCCATTAAAAAGATGCATGCGGGTCGCCTGGTGGATCCACGCTCTCCCTCAGCTGGAATTGATCGAACACCCATTCAGGTTTGTCACCGGCACATAGTGGTAGGATACCTACACATCCTAAACTTAACAAAACATTTTATTATATTTTATTGAGGCTTCATGGGCAAGCCGTAGCAAAGCACATGCCCTCATAATCTTAGTTTAAATCCAGCTGTGATGGGAAGGCCTCACAGGTTTGTTGCAGAACATTAATTAACTAAAAGCATATTGAAGACCAAGGAATAAAACAGGCTGGTTTGGGACAAAGCTGTTGCGATGTTAATGCAGAGTTAGGTTCTATAAAAAAAAAATGATAATAATAAACTCACAAATTTAAGTATCTTGGAGCAATAAAGTCATTTGTTTACATAATTCAGGTGAATTGGACCATGGAAGTAGGGCTGCACAATATTAGACCATTTTTCTATGGTAATAATGATCGTAAATGTTTCGTATTGATAAATGCAGCATTTCCTTAAAATTTTTACTTTGTCATCCATGTTTCAGCTGTGTGACCTTTAGGACTTTTGCCTGTACCTTTTGTGTTGTGCGCAAGCATCTGCCTCAAACTTTCTCCAGCTAGCTAAATATTGTTTAGTTGGACAATTTCTTTGATTCCTTTCTAATAATCAACACACTTTTATTGTGATTATGGCACATTTGTGGTTTACCAGTCAATCTTAGAAATGATATATACATTTCAGATAATTGGTCCCCCGAGGGCAGTAGTCTTTATACTTTGAAGCTATGTTTGAAAGGCACTGGGTTATATGACTTTGTCTCTATTAGTTTTGTAGACAGGAGTCCAAAACTACTGCAGCGGTGAACAGTGAGTGTCCCCTGGCCTTTAACGATCCCAGGTCACCTACCGTTGGCGTTACACGCACCCCTGTGAGAGAATTTGTGAGAGGTAAACTTATTGTTAATAACTTCCAGTTTGCTTTTCTTGGCCTCTACAGTTTGACTTTTAACTTCTACTTTTTCTTTCTTTCCCAGCAACCGTCGGGTCTTTTGCTCACCGTCTAGGTTTGCTTTTCCACAACGAGGCTGAAGGCAAAGTCCCTCAGGGCCCCCAGAAATGCTTGAGTGTTCCTGTAGATGAGGTCCTCAGAGACGAAGAGCTGGCCTCAACAGAGCCGCTTCTCACTCCTCTCAAAATAAAAGACTTGAGTTCTTTAGCTGAACATGCTAACCTCCTCGCTACCCCTGTTCAAGCTCCTCAGCACTTTGTTGGCAGCTCAAGCCCCTTTGAGCTTCTCTGGGATCCTCAGGTGGAGGTAGAGATCGAGACAGAAGCAGAAATTAGCCTGGAGGAAGCAGAAGAAGCCAGAGAAACCCCCCTGCACAAGAGACTGAGCATGAGCCTTATAACATGCCATGAGGGAGCAACTTCATCTCAGATCATTGCTGAGGTCCACAGTGAAGGTCCTGCTTTCTCAGAACCTGATGTGGAAAACAACCAACTTGGGGGTGAGGTGGATCATTCGTATGCAGTTCCCTCTATTGCAGTTCAGCCAGAGTCGTCCACTGAGTCACCAGTGGAAGTGGAGAAAGAGCCTCCTGCCCAGGAAGCTGAATCCCGTCTGCCTCCCTCAGAAGAACTAGTAGTCCCCAGTCCAGAGCAGCAAGCAGTGGGGACAGGTATCCGCTGCCCATCCTTTGACACAAAGAGCCCCAGTCAGCTGGAGTTCAAGCCACAGTGGTTGGGAAAAGGTTTTGGTGCCACTGGACTACGATCTAGAGGTGTGCAAGGGAACAAAGGAGGCTCATCTCCTCTTGCTGTCCGTGTGGCTGTAAAGGGTATAAACAACGAAAACAAGAGGCAGTCTGGAAAACTGAAAAACAAAGGTGTGTATGGCTAGAGGAAGATTTGTTTTGTGAAAACTTTTTCACTTGTATATGATTTCAAGGTATTTGTCTCCTCACTAGGTACTGAGGGCCGCTCTCCGCTGCAGATCCTTAAGGAGACCAACTCTCCTCGTGATCAACGTAACCAGGTACAAGGCATTCAGTTATGTTAGCAGCACCTTTGTCTTTAAAGGGGATGTTATCTAGCCAGAGGATCTGTGTGTGATTCTACAAAGTTCATTGTTAAACTGACTTATTTTTTGCTTTCACTATGCAGTTGAAGCTAAAGGCATCCAATCAGTCCAAGCAGCGACTTGGACAGATGGACCGCAGAGTTCTGGCAGTATCTATGGACAAGGAGAACTAATGAAGGAAGATGTACAGTCTGCCCCTCCTATAAATTTCTTTAAAATATCCTTTTATGTGTAGCTGTCTAAAACCTATATTTGAAATGTGCTTTATTTTAACTGCTATATGCTGCTTTTTTTCTCCTTTTTTTTGTTAATGTCAACTTTACATGTCCAGGCTTGGCTTGATTTTAATTTTTTCAATCCTTTTTTTTTGTTCCTGTTTCTTGCTTTTTTTATGCAGCCATTTAAAACTTCTGTAAAAATAAAAGTTGTAAAAAGTTTTTTTATAAACAGAATGAAAGTTCAACACTATGTTCAGTTGAAGTCTGACTTTCTTTGATATGCTGAAGAAATAGGAAGAAATCTTGGCTTTACTTGGAACTGGTTTTTCAGTCATTATCCTGCTAGAACAGAAATGCTGACCAATTTTCACTATCGGATAAAAAAAAAAAACTTTTTTGCCGTGAACACCTTGCTTGATAAACAGACCAAATATGAGATTAAATCTGTAATTTAAACTTCAAACTTGCAGGCAAGTAAATTATTTTGGCTGCTGGTGGGTGGGGCTAGTTTACTAGGCTAATGAACACCAGTTATCCCAAGGTCACCCACACCATGATATTTCCTCCACAGGAAGAGGTTAATTTATTCATCCTTGCATCCCCCTTTACCACATTGAGTTTGTACATGAAATAATTAATGTAGGCCATGTTTTTATGCTACACTCTGACCGTTAAAGCTCTGAATAGACGGCACCAAATACAGATGAGAATGCTCTGGATAAAGTTCTCCATCAGTTGGCTCTAGAGAACTATATTTTTATTACTTCACTGTACCATGGCAAAATGACTCCTTGCAGCTGTTAATTTTAAACTTTGGCTTTAGACAAGGGCAAGGTTGAACAAATGGAAAGTTTTAGTGATGCCAACAACTACACAACGTGTGATTTTGGTTTAGTCATTTCTTTAGGAAGGATTTTTGGCCACAATTGGACTAATCAAATTGTTTTAATTTAACATGAAATCTACCTGAAGAGCTTTGTCAGGATGCTATTGTATAATTCAAAGCCAATTATTATAGTGGAAATATTTACTTAGCTTTTTTAGAGATCACATATCTAATTTATTTCAATATAACATGAAACTATATAATTGAACTACATGATTGGATACTCTGAAGTAAACCTTCAGCAAAACTAATAGCACAAAACCTTGATATATTTGGTGTTTTTATAAGTTTATTTTTCATTTAAGTGGAAAAAAGTGGGCTTTTTGTCCACCTGTTGTGACTCAAACCTAGGATTACTACGTCGATGACAGACCATCGTGCATGGATTATATGCTTAACCCCTGTGCCATTGCTGCACCCCAATGTTATCCTGGTTCAATATTGGATAGATTTTGTGATTATCAGCATGTTCAACTTTGTACAGAACAAAGCATTCAATGATATTTCATTCATTCAAATCTTGGATGTGTTATTTTGTGTTCTCTTTTTTTTTTTTTTTTTAAACAGTGTATTTTTTTGAGGACTTTGTTCCTTTAGTAACTAAATTTGAATACATATCTGTAATTTCTATTTCCAGTGGTGTCATAAGTACACACATTTGTTACTTAAGTAGAAGTATAGATACTGCAGTTTAAAAACACTGGTAAAAGTTAAAGTATCAACTTGACCTCTTTACTCAAGTGAAAGTGAAAAAGCATGTGCTCCAAAAACTACTAAAAGTATAAAGTAACATGAAAAAGAAAAATAGCCAGATGCCACTATATGAAAAGCTAAATTTTTCAACTACCGGTATTAAAAAAAAAAATCCTGGAGATGGGGCCATGGATGAGGGAGGTCTTGTTGGTCTCTGTCTCCATCTCCCGATACATTCTCGCGTGTGTCCGACCTTTCAGACATTTCAACATCTTTTTCTAAATCCAACATGTAGCATGGCATAGACAATTGATGTTTGCAGTTTGAAGAACACCTGCTTGCTTCTGATAATTACCCTAAGATAGCCAATGAGTGTTTGCGTAATATGACTCATCCAATCACACTAGTTTTCACTAGATGTGGATGGCGCCAATGATCTGCATTGGATGGAACACGTGACATGAAATAAATATTAAGCTGAAGCTACGAGTAACGTTTGTTTTAAAAATTTAAGGAGTAGAAAGTACAGATACTTGTGTGAAAATGTAATGAGTGGAAGTCAGAAGCAGGAAGAAAAATAAGTAATGGAGTAAAGTATAGATGCCTAAAAAGTGACTTAAGTACTGTAATGAAGTATTTGTATTGATGCCAAGGTGTAACAGCTGCAAAATACAGGTAAAATATAGAGAGGGGAAAGAGAATCTGATACTGCTATGAAGACGGATGGGAAACATGGTAGATTATGGATATAATCTGTGATTCAAGAAAATTCCCCTTTTTGAATGCTATGAATACCAGAACTCTAAAAAGTATTTGGCTGCTCATGCAGGACTTCTGTTTAGTCTATATTACCCTAACAGAAATTTACTTTAGAACAAAACCAGGACTGCATCAGTACATTTATGTACCATATACTAACACAGAATCAACAAAGCAGGAAAATAAACCAAAGCAGATCAGTGTTGGTCTAATATGTAAAACTGGACCAATATTAATATTAAATGTTTATTTCGATGTAGATGGTGTTTTTATTTCAGAAGGGGGAGGACAAGAGGTGGAATTTGTGTTTGTGACACAATGGGAGAAGGCTTAACCATATTTGTTTGTTCAAGTGACATTGATAGCAATGCAGCAAAAGATTGTGGGTGTTTAACTAAGGCAGGCTGGGAGTTTGGAGGGGGCTAAGGCCAAACTAGCACCAATACTGGTAGCACATACAACAGTTGGCTTCTGTACCCCAATACCTTCCTGGTTCAGTATTGGACAGCTACTAATACAAATAAACCAAATATTTTTAAAAACTCATTGGTTTCATTCATAAGACAGCTCCAAACCCTAAAACATCCTACTGGCTGAATGTAGAATGTGAGATTTCTGAGAGGTTGTAACACATCACTGAATGCACTGAATTATGATCCAAATTTTTCCACAACTGAAATAATCTGGTGTAACTTAAATGCACCCAAGAGGTAGTGAACATGCAAAATGAGCCAAAAATTAAGACGTAATGCAATAATTTGAATGAAACCCCAATTTATTAATTTACATTCCACTGTAGACCAAGTTCTGAAAAAAAGCCAAACTTTTAGTTTTTCAAAATGTATACAATCAGAATTAAGAGCTTACCTGCCATGAAAAGAAATATATAAATATTCAAGGTTACTGGTTGTATTCACACCAAATGACACTCATACATTTTTGTCTTGAGACAAGTGGGTCAAAATATTTTTTTATGTAAATGATAATTTTACTAATCCATCTATCATTTTGAGTTAGTACCCAAAACATAAATAAGGTCTACCTAATGAGGGGGTAAAGCCAAAAATGATCTCAAATTTTACTTAATATTCTTCATCAGTCACATACAAAACAAACACATATGCAGACATGCAAACTATTGACATAAGTTTAAAGAAATGAGAAAATAAAAAGAAAGTTTTAGTACTTAGGGAATCTACCAAAGCTAAAACAAATTATTGTAAATCATGTTATTCATATGGTGTAACCTATTTTCTCATATAAAACACAGCATATAAGTTGAGCTTCTGTGACTCTACGCAGGCTGTAACTTGTAAGTATGTAGTTCTGACTCATCCAGTGTGCTACCATTTCCATTTGGCAATTGTTCGTATTGAATAATCTTTAGATTGCTCCACAATAAATGCATCTTTCATCTGTTTCATCTGAATTACAGATTAACTAATAAGGAATTTGACTAAGACGCCCACTCTTTTTGTCCTACCCTAATTTCCACCATAACGTGAGAAGAAAGGTGAGAGTGCAGTGTGACTGGGAGAAGAGGAAATCCTCGCATTACACCCCTGTTCCTGAACATTAGAAAAGGACTTGGCACGGTTAAAATACCCTCTTCTCACTCTATGTCTCCTTCTCCCTCCATTGATCTCTCCTTCTTTTTAAATCTTCACATATTTCCACGCATATATATTCTCTGCTTTTTCTCTGCTTGCAGGTGACAGACAGCCTCAGTTCCATATCTTGAGGAAACTGTCCCAGGATCCTGTGCAGCAGGCCATGCCGTCTGCAGACACACCGATGCAGCTCACTCTATTATCGTGACCGGCCAGGACACCTGAAAAANTATTTCAAAAAAAAAAAAAAAATCCTGGAGATAGGGCCATGGATGAGGTAGGTCTTTTTGGTCTCCATCTCCCGATACATTCTCGCGTGTGTCCGACCTTTCAGACATTTCAACATCTTTTTCTAAATCCAACATTGTAGCATGGCATAGACAATCCATGTTTACAGTTTGAAGAACACCTGCTTGCTTCTGATGATTTCCCTAAGATAGCCAATGAGTGTTTGCGTTATATGACTCATCCAATCACACTAGTTTTCACTAGATGTGGATGGCGCCAATGATCTGCATTGGATGGAACACGTGACATGAAATAAATCTTAAGCTGAAGCTAAGAGTAACGAGTAATGTTTGTTTTAAAAATGTAAGGAGTAGAAACTACAGATACTTGTGTGAAAATGTATTGAGTGGAAGTCAGAAGCAGGAAGAAAAATAAGTACCGTAATGGAGTAAAGTATAGATGCCTAAAAAGTGACTTAAGTACTGTAATGAAGTATTTGTACTTCATTACTTGACACCTTTGTCCATTTCTTACTTTCTTTTAACTGGCTCATTCTATATGGATGCCAAGGTGTAATAGCTGCAAAAATACAGTTAAAATATAGAGAGGGGAAAGAGAATCTGATACTGCTATGAAGACGGATGGGAACCATGGTAGATTATGGATATAATCTGTGACTCAAGAAAATTCCCCTATTTTCCCCCTTTATTAGATTTTTCATTTTTATGTTGATTATGTTATATTTCAATCCTAATGCTGTGAATACCAGAACTCTAAAAAGTATTTGGCTTCTCATGCAGGACTTCTGTTCAGTCTATATTACACTAACAGAAATTTACTTTAGAACAAAACCAGGACTGCATCAGTACATTTATGTACCATATACTAACACAGAATCAACAAAGCAGAAAAAAAAACAAACAAAGCACATCAGCGTTGGTCTGATATATAAAACTGGAATGTTTATTTCCATGTAGATGGTGTTTTTATTTCAG